GACTTGACAACAACTTTTTTTGAGTTTCAGAAGGTGGAATTGATGGTGATGCTGCCATTCAGAAACTGCTTGTATGCAAGGATAATGCAAAAAGATGCGTAACCTGGTATAACAAGTAAAAACTTGGACCCTTGAGTAACAGAAAAGCAATATAGTCTGAGTTGTTTTTCATCCTTCCCTACATGCGTCAGGTAAACCCAAAGATGCCGTCAACCCACTCTGTGGCTCCTGCAATAATACATGCAGGTATCTCATGGGAGTCATTTGGTCTGATGATTACTCTGCATGGTTGTATAATGGCACAGAAATATGAGGCCATTTCCCAGGACCAGGTGTGCCCTTCGGTGCAAACACGGCTACCTCATTATATGCTGTCATATTTCAAGATGAAAATGCCCCAATATACACTGCTAATCAAATCCGGGTGGTTTCATGAACATCGGGAAGAAGTTGAATGCCTTCCACGGTCTTCCGAAACAACGTATCTGAAAGCACAGAGTCGCTGCAGGCAGAGGCTGCTGGGATTGCTGCACTGAGAGAGAGTGCTGTTGTTTGGGAGTATGTGTGTTTGTGTGCTAGTTCAGTTTATGTGGGTGGCTGTTTTTTTTGGTCTGCGTGAATGCTTGTCTGTCCTTGTTAAGAAACAACACGAGTAGACAAATGTAAGGTAATCCATGCAGGAAGCAGAAATATAAAGTACAGATATTTTATGAGTTCTACTGAAACAAAGGTAGCTGATTATGAGAAAGACCTTGGTGTGTATATTGATGCTTCCATGTCCCACTCTGGCCAGTGCGGGGAAGCAATAAAAAAAGGCCAATAGGATGTCGGGTTACATCTCTAGGTGTGTGGAGTTCAAGTCAAGGGAGTTGATGCTAAGATTATACAATTCCTATGTAAGACCCCACCTAGAATATTGTGTGCAGGTTTGGTCACCATACCTTAAAAAGGAAATTGCTGCCTTAGAAAGGGTTCAGCAAAGGACTACTAGAATGATTCTTGGTCTTAGAGGAATGTCTTATGAGGAGAGGTTAGCTGAGCTGAATCTTTTCAGCCTCGAGCAAAGGAGACTAAGGAAGGACATGATCCAGGTATATAACATTATAACAGGTCTGGATGCTGTTCAACCAAAGAGTTACTTCAGTATTGGTTCAAATACAAAAACTCGTACAGCGTGTAGTTAGAGAATGGAATAGTCTTCCTTCTAGTGTAGTGCAAGCTAAAACCTTGGGTTCCTTTAAATCAGAGCTAGATAAGACTTGAACATCTGTGGCCTATTAATTGAGTTCTCCCCAAACAAGCTTGATAGGCTGAATGGCTTCCCTTTCATTTGTAAATTTCTTATGTTCTAATCACTGGAACATAGAGAGCAAAGTATATTTCTACTTCCTTTACATCACAAACAACTGAAAGCTTTTCTTCATGAAGATTTGTCAAATATCCCATCACACACAGTTCAGGACAGTTTTGATGGTGCCCAACTCCTTATTACACCTCTAATATTAATGTCTCATTAAGTGTTTCTGCTATTTTGTCCAATCTCTGTACAGATTATCCCTCCAGTGATATACAAAGAAAATTTCAACATTTTTCAAAGAGTTGATCTAAAAGACTAATCGAGCCGAATGCGACTTCTACTGTGGTGTAATACTACATAATGTCACTACACAGGGATGGGACAAAAGATGAGGTAAATGCCACTGACAAGGATCATGGAAGTGGAAAATTACAGTCAGGCTACATGATGGAATCACAGAAATTGTAGGAAAATTATCAATGGACGCCCATGCTAAAAATTTTGGATTTATTCTAATACCTATAACTTTTCAGTTGGGCAATATACAGCTGTGGAAAAAATTAGGAGACCACTCTATACTTTTAAACGAATCTGTGTTTTTAAATGCTGGTTTAATGCTGGTCCTGCTGGCAGAGGCTACGCTGAGCAGTAGGTGGCTTCTAGGCCCCAAATTTCTAAGACAGCAGAACCGTGAATAAGGTGAAGCAGGAGACACTGGGAACGACCAGAAACCAGCCAGGTAAAGGGCGGAAGCGACTTTCTAACGCCAGAGATGACCGTTAATTTATCCAGCAGTTTCTCATGAATTGGGTGATGACAACAAGTGACCTTCAAAAGGAATGAGAAACATTAAGTGCAGGTGTGAAGTGCACTGCTAGGACAGTTCATATCAGGCTCCTAGAAGCAAGACTCAAGTCCCGAAAAGCAAGGAAGGAGTCCTTCATTAATGAGAAACATTAAGTGCAGGTGTGAAGTGCACTGCTAGGACAGTTCATATCAGGCTCCTAGAAGCNAATGAGAAACATTAAGTGCAGGTGTGAAGTGCACTGCTAGGACAGTTCATATCAGGCTCCTAGAAGCAAGACTCAAGTCCCGAAAAGCAAGGAAGGAGTCCTTCATTAATGAGAAACAGGGAAGGATCAGGCTAATATATATATATATTATATATACCTGTATTATATGTATATTATACACACTGATAAATTGAAAAATGAGTGAAACAAGAAATTGTGCTGTGGTCTCTTACTTTTTTCCAGAGCTGTACAAGACAAATTTGTTGCTAATCATATATTTGTGAAGTTAAATGACAAATCACTTTCCAGCTAGGGATGCAAACACTAGAGGACTGGTGTGGACCTCCACAGACCCTCCAGGAGGGAGTAGACCATAATCTCAAAGGCCTAGCTTTTGACTGCTGTTGTAGACCCGCTGTTGATCAAATTTAATTAGCCTAATCGAGTTCGGCAACCATTGCACCTGCCACAAAGGACACTCTGCAATATTTCTGGTAATGTTTTATAAAATTTATAGCGGTAATTTTATGTGATATCCCTAAATTACTTGTCATAAAGTGAGCTCCTGCAATGTCACAGATCTTGCAGACTATCACGTTTTAGGCTAATGGTACTTGTGAAGTTCTTAAATACTTACATTTATCTGTTGCCGGGGGCTGTTGGATCCATTAATGAAAGAAACTTCTAAACAGTACTTAAGGTGCAATACAGAACTAACCCTGAGGGCAGAACCACAGTAATTGCTCCGTTGTCAAAGACGCTTACATATCTTTTAATCATCTGAACTTCCAGACGAGGCATTATTACGACCGATTAATTGCACTTTATTTTATCAATTGCTGCTCAAAAGACATCTGTAATTAAGCACAATTTATTCTGAGGCCGAAGATAACATTGCTCTAGATCGTTTTTTTTTTTTTTAATTGTACGATAAACAGAGGCCAAACGTGTATCACATCTATTATATTTAGCAGCTGAATGGAATGTGAAATGGGGGGGGGGGGGGGGCAATTCCTCTGCAGTCAGTGGTAAACCTTCCATGTGACAGTTATTAACGATGAAGTGGAGAGTGCTGTGAACAGCCTGCAATGGAGAAACACTTCAGAAGTGTCAGATCATCGCGCGTGACACTTTGATATACGTGACGTTACAAGGGGCGCATCCATTTAATGTCTACATGATGTACATTACAAAACACACAAAATAAATATCTCTAAGTTTATAAAAATGGACTAAATTGCTTGAATACTTTGTGATTTGTATTTTTCCTTTAAATATATTTCTTGGTAGCATGTTGTTAAATCAAACAGTAATGAATTATTTCATTTTCAACAATTGCTCTTCCAAAATATTTCCTTAGAAACCTGAAGTAAACTATTACCAAGTAACTTCAGACTATTTGAGTAACAGAAGGACAGACATTCACACATGCACATCAAATTTTGAAAATCTTATTTAACTCTGTGTTCCAAATCTGTACAGACAGTACTAACCAGTGAGCCCAATTCGAATAGTCTCGGCACAGGAGGTCCATGTCAATAATAGTGAAAATAATGTCTTTATATCAGACGTCTGTATTCCTTAGTATTATGCTAAATTTGCAGCATCAAACACCAGAATCCTCTGCTAACTGTAACATTCTGACATTCTATCAATCAGGATTTAGATTCCCCCTTTTTTTCTCTGACAAACCTTTCAAAATATATCCACCATCCTGGGTGATACTAACTCTGCCTTGTTTCATCACCCAGAGCTACAACACAAATGTGCTGCATCTGATCAAACAATTTCACAGGGCCCTTGTGCTCCACTAGAACCCTTGGGATGCTGATTCTGGTAGAGCTCTTGGTCATGCACATAGAACTTATCTTGGTGCATCTACCTGAACAAATAAGAATGTCAAGACTGTTTTCAAATTCAATGCCTCTGACTCGATTTAAATGCCAAAATTCATATTTAATTGCTTGTTGTGCTTGAACCTCGCAGTACAACCTTGTATGAATTAATATCATGTAATTTTGGTTGAAATGTTTATGATGAAAAGCCTGTGGTCACTTATGTTGTGAAAACCAAGAAGCATTAGTGCAGACTTTTCAAATATGTTGTTTTATTTAACATCAGTAATTACTTCATCAGTGGTGCATCTTGTTTAATGAACTATTTTAAATGTTAATGGCAACATAATGACACCACTCAGTAAATATTTAATCTAACTGCTCCATGCTTTGTGAAGGCAAGACATAAATGAGAACCTTGCCAATTGGTCTTGCATTTTAGTGTCTTGCTGTAATTGATTAAGATGGTTATGAGCTGACCTTACATTAGTGCAAAGCTCTCGTACCACGAGTTTGGAATTTAATTTTAAAAACAGGCATGTGTGCATTGCTTTTCGTTCACCCAGCCATGCACATGCACACACAGACACACACAGCATCCGAGAAAAGCACATTGATTATTTTCAGCCTCAAGCAGTTTATATTAGAACTCATATTGTCAGCTTCATCTGTTTCAAAAAGGTGCATTCAGCTGATATAAGGACTGAATGTTCCTGTTTCCATAAGTATTAATACCCGAAATAGTTACAGTCCAATGCGTAAAAAATTTATTTGAAGAAATAATAAAAAAAAAAACCCACAAAAATAAATTACATATATTTCAGTATGTTTGCTTCAACAATCTAGTTAGTCTTCCATGTCCTTCATGGAATTGGGCTGGAATAATGAAGATTTTACAGCTGATAAACATTAGGCTTACTAGAAAACCTTTGTTTCAGAATGTACAGCGTCTTTATTTTAAGTACAGAAACACAGGGATTTTAATTCGTAAGCACTTCATTCTTACTTCCACGATAAAATGGTTTTGTTGTTCACGAAATTTGACAACATATTTGGATACCTCCTGGTGTTTAATATGCTCTCTGTTATACACAATTCATAAAAAATTAATTTCATAAAACCTGACTGAACTAATTGGCAATTAATGACATGCATGACCTTTTGAAATGTCATTGTCAAAAACAAATTAATATAAATTAATTTCATTTGAAAACCTGACCAGATTTTCTGAGGAATTTATGTGTAGAACTCTTTCAATATTTTACCTACCGACCTACCCATCTACCCTAACTAAACAATCTGGAGCAGATTAAAGCACGTTTTATCCACTGCAGCTGAACTTAAATATGTTTGAACTATATTAACTAAACAACATATTCTACATTGTCATAGTTTCATTGTTGCCATTGTTAACTCATCATATTTCATTTTATACTTGATAGCTATTTCAAACAAGACAGGGCTCATCTCATATATATTACCATAGGGACACAGAATGATGACACCTGTAATAAAAGGTAAGGGATCACATATGTCTATCATATATAATACATTTCTATACTTTTCTGCAACTAAAATAGTCTAGCTTTTGAAATAATATACTGTGTTGATTACCAGCACAGCTTAACAAGTAGAAAAGCTTTTAAAGCGCTAAAAATAACATCTCCTGGACTCATAACAACACAGGGCTCAGCTCTGAGCTATGAAAAGTCCTCATGGGCTTTGGGATTCTTATTTCTTGCAGTTTTTCCCAGTTACTTAGCTGTAAGAAGCCATTAATAACTTCTTCTGCACCTACTGCAGATTCATAAATGACAGTCTGTCCCAGCATTGGGTTATTGAGGGGGAAAAAATACAAATGCTATTGTTTTGTCTTAAGTTCGAACCTAACACAATTAGGTTATCTATTATTATTTATTACAGTATTATAGATCAACTTCATTAATAAGTAGATTGTCCAAGATACTCAGTTTACTCTTTACCACTGGGGATGCAAGAGTATTACAGAATACAAGCAGTCCACAGGTTAACAGCATCCAACTCGCACTTAAGAATGGCTGCAATAAAGCCTATTATATTCAAAATTCTGCTTAAACACAATGGTTTGTAATAATGAATACACGCACTGTGCACATTGCATGGCTTCAGTGGTTCGTCGACTCATTACAGTACAGTCACCAAACATTTGACTGGCTGACTCTAAATAAGAACCATATGTACTTGTTCAAACTTATCTTCAAATTGCATTTAAAGACAGACTTATGGACTGGATCTTGTTCGTCACTGGGGCACTGCCTGTACAGTATTGCAGTTTATTATTACAGTACTACGTCAGTACAGATATAATCCTTGTTTGCTATAAAACCCTTATACATCAAAACAATGATTCTGGCTATTGAAAACAGTGATCTTCTGATCAAAGTCTCAAGTTATTAACAACTACGCCCCCGGCTATAATGCTTTGCAAGCACATTCAACACGTGACACTACTTTGTGGAGGTCAGGACTCAGCGGAGCTGACAGCTCACCTTCCCTCTTTCCTTAAGATCCTTCACTTCAGCAACAATGGGAATCATCTCTGCTTTTATCTGCATGAGATCACACATTACAGCTCCCATTAGTCCCAGTGCATCAAAATGTGTCAACAACAGACGCGGAACATTCTAGAACCAGAAAGTCAAGAGAATGCAAAGTGGCGGTTTGCATAGGTCACCTGTGTTTTTTGCGCTTTTTCAGCTGCGCTTTGGGTCACAGCCATGGCTAAATGCAGCATACAGTACATTGACATGGATGGTTCTGCAGGGATATGGAACGAGGAAAAAACATAATAAAAACACCTTGGAAATCCTGCCCCTGCTACTCTGGACTGTATTATCCAATCCCCAAAGTGCCCTGAAGTGTTCGTCAATTATGGCCAGATAATCTGGGGGACAAACAATTCTCTCCCCTCGCCACGTGGTGTCACCAACGGCTGTGACAGTCAATTAATCTCATTGTGGAGTCGCATAATGGCTGACATGACAGCATGGCCCTAACCACACAATCCCTGCCAGACAGGCGCCTGGCTTAATGGGCTCAGTGACCACAGCGGAGGAGCAGCGAGACACTTTCTGAATTCCCCTGAAATGTCATGGCTCTGGTGACAGCACTGAGTTTCTCAGGGTGTGGGCAGGGCCGCATGTTGCCTTTGAAATTGCGAGGTTGATGTCTGAAGACCCACAGGTCTGTCTGACGTTTAACCCTACACAACGAGGCTGGCGGTCCCTTACCTGTTATTCATTTGGTGGATAGCGCCATGCTAATAAAAAATTGCATCCTTCTAATAATTTATATGTGACTTAGGCCAGCTTGTATCTAAAGTGGGTAAAGCCCACCTTAGTTAGGGTTTTCTGACATAAATGCATTTTAGATTTTCAGATGCATTCGAACCGCATCACGCACTTTGCTCTTTCTCGTTTATTCTGTTGACAATTTCAGGTTACAACTCCCGCTCGAGGGTTTAAGAGTAGTGGTCCTTTGGGACCACAGCGGGAAATGCGTTGGCCACCCGTTTACATTTGTAAGCACATCACACTACCTGCTATGTAATGTGCATCAAAGGGCAACACGAGAGCCTCTTGCAAGAGCTCCTGTGAATGTCTAGCCATGCTCCTGTGATCAGCAGAGCTGGTTCTCCTGTGATCAGTGTCTTTTACATTCCACTCTTCAGATCAAAGCATTTCACAGAGCCATGCCATGAAAAGCAGCTGAGACATGCCCCAGCAATACCTCCTACGCAGAAATATACAGCAAAGGCAGCAAGCCTTAACACACAAAATACCACCGTGCTCCTAAGTTTAGGATTGTGACAACACTGACCTCTTTGAACCCCATGAGCAGGACAAGCAGTTACAAGATGAGTGGATAGGTGAAGTAAAACTGCGAGGTATTGAATAGCTTGACTAGCAGAAGAAGAACTGAAAGTAGAGTCTTGGAAGTAGGGAACAAAAAGAGGCACCATGCTGACCAATGAGTCACTCAAATTAACGCTGTGATGCAGCTTCTATTTCCAGGCACGGCCCTGCCAGAGAGCAGCACCTTGAAAGACACACAAAATGAATTACACTAAAATGTCCTCCACAAAGAGTCCGAGCCAGGTAGCCAGAGACCGTTATTTACGTCCCAAAGTCAAGAGCGCGCAACCTGCTCAAACATCGGGGTCATAAAAAAACGTATATCTGGGAGTCATAAAGAAAACAAATACGTTTCTATGTAGAATATTTTAACGCACAGATTCTCCTCTTTGCTTGTGTTGATATTAAATTAGCTTTATCATTATCATTTTAAGAGGAAGTCTTTAGTTATAGTTATTGCAAATCATTTTATTTCCAGCATCTATGAAAAATAAACGCCAGACTGAACTTTTGCCCATTTTCATGACATCGACTGATGATGTTTGCTTGAAGGTCTCTGGAAAATCATTCATATTATCAGCGGCGAGCGCGCTCGTGCGAATCGCTGTCTAATGTGCATTCGTTATCGGAACTGTATGAAGAATTCAGTGCTATTTTAAGACGCAGTGTATGACTTACACTCTTCAGTTCAAATTCTCAATAAGCTGGAACAACAGCAGCCTTTCTAAGATATACATTTCCCAGGAAGAGGCAGAATTAGTATACATTAGGCTGCCTGAGGACCTCCCTCTCCATATTCTCTGACATTACAGACTGGAGAGCTGCTCAGAGTTGTAATTCATATTGAAACAGCATCAGCATCCTCTGCAGCATGCTGTTTAAGATGAGACCTCTGCAGAGACTCAAATGATCATTAACAGGGCACTTGCATTTCATTTGGCTGAATATTCACGTCCTTTTCTCTATTCAAAAAGCACGCCGGGGCACAGGGCCCTGGTGTATACTGAGCTGTTAGCCTCACAACACTTTCTTCATGCATTTTTTTTTTCTGTTTAGACAGCACATCTGACAGATTCTTCCAAGGATTCCTAAAGGGTGTGCGGTGATCACCTTGATACTGCAGAATACAAAGGGCTGTCTTTGCAAAAACATGCACCGGTGTCTTTTTTGGGGAGGGGCTGCATGCTTTGGGACATGCTGAGATACATGACTTGCATGCATTCTTCAAAGTCAGTGAAATATATTCACCATGGAACAATATAGAACTTCACCACACCGGAATATTTTTTGTTGCTCCCTGAAGTGCTGATGTGTCAGGATGGATCCCTGCCTTGTCCCGTTTTCTCTGTTGTTTCCCCGTTTGGCCAGCAGATGTCGCTGACCATCCCCTTCTTTCCTCAGGGATTCCCCAGCTTTCTCTGTCCCTAGTGTGTTTCCCTGTTCCCTGACCCACTGTGTGGCTGAATGACCTGAGTGTGCGGCTGAGCAACAAAGCCGTCCTGTCATCACAGGTTAGACATTTTGCCATTTGTTACCCCCACGGTAATTGTTGTAATGACCAGCAGACCCAGGCATCACAGCAGTAAGCAGAGACAAGGCAGCTTTGCTTAAATGGGAGCTCTTTTATTGGTTGTCCTTATAAGGACCAAACACAATTACTACCACCCCATCCATCCCATAAGAGGAACACGTGGGAAGGTCTTGCGCTGGATGGTAAGACACACCTGTGGGGATTTACAAAGTGGCTAGAGACACGCGTGGATTGGACAGGATTCACACACGACACAGGCAAGGGCAACCATGAAAATCAGGAGTACAACGCAAATATAACAAAAACACATACAGGGACTGATCACAATGCCGCAAGCACGTCGGGAACTGCTAGTGGGCTCCGCTAAGCGAACGCCATTTTGATGATGCTGCATTATGTTCCTCATATTTATGCATTCAGTATCAGTGCTTACTTTTAGTGACTTTGTTCCTGATCAACCCTGCCCATGTCCGGTTTTGTAGTTACATCCTATGTTCCTTGCATCTCCCATGTAATTCTTAGGCCCTAGTGTTTTGGTTTATAATTAAGGACCTGCACCTGTTCCTCGTTACCAGTGTACATATCTGCTTGCCCTGTTCCTCTGTTGCTCAATGTGTTCCTTGTAGGTGTTCCTTGTGGATGTGTCCTGCCTGTGTTTCCTCTACATTTACTTGTGTTTAGACCGAGCCCTTGTTAGTTCTTGTTTTACTGAGCTGCATTTGTTTTGACCTCTTGTGGTCCCTTTTGGTTTCTATGGTATTCAGTTTATAATAAACTCCCCTTGTTGTCTGTAAGCTGCTCAGTGGATTGTTTTTACCATGACCATTGATAAAATAATGGGTCTTTCTGCCACGGGGGGCACTGTAAAGGACGATTGCAAGGGCCCCAGAGTGACAGAGGCCATAACAAATTTGGGGCATAATTGGATTGGTCTGGGTTGGGGGCCCAATAAGATATTTCATGGGGCCCAAAATCTCTAGCAGCACCCCTGTTCTGCTGCATCTTATCAACTGAAATTCATATCTATTCGTCCATCTTCCATAAGCACTTACAGGGTCAAGGCAGCATACATTACATCCAGAAATACATAATGCCAGGTATAGGAAATTCCTCCTGATTCTGAATGCATGATAAGATCATAACTCCCCCTAACGACAAAGTGTTTAGGACTGCATATTGATGGTAAGGTCTCCTAGAGTTGTTCCAAAGGGGGTACATGAGCTTATCCTTAAAAAAACATTATGCAGCACATAGATATTCAGTTCACGATTCACCCTAAGTAAGTATTCTTTGATATAGTTATGCATAAATGTAATGTAGATTTGAAAGCCTAGTATATAGTGTATTTTAACCCATATTTTACCCAGAATTATCCATAAAATCCCCCATTTGTTGCATAAAACAGCTGATTTAATGTGCTCTGATTCTGCAGACGGATTTGCATGGTGATTGAAAAAAGTGGGCGGGGTCATTCACTGCCTTCGTTGTCAACTTTAGCCTGAGGTCATATGCAGCTAATTATTTTGGTGCTGGCAGGAACCGTTTGGAAAATGTCTTTGCCTATCAAAGAAAGCAGTTCTTTCACATTTCAGTTGGGTCTTCGATCAATTTTCAGTATTATGCTGGTGCATCTGTGTATTTAAACTTGGATCTTATTGTGAATCAAGTACAGAGTCCTTGTTCCTTAAAAAAGCAATTTGTTTATGCCCCATAGAGATTGTGATTTGACACTCAGGTTACCTTATTCAATCAGTCAGTTATCTTTGGCACTCAGTCCAGTAATACTGCAGTGTATTACAGCAGTGTTTCTCAGCTTGGTCCTTGGGGATCATCAGACAGTCCACATTTTTGCTCCCTGCCAGCTCTCAGGCAGATGGTCCACATTTTTGCTCCCTGCCAGCTCTCAGGCAGACGGTCCACATTTTTGCTCCTCCTCAGCACACGTGCACTGTCTTGGGGTCCACCAGCTCCTGATTGAGAAACACTGTATTACAGGATCTCAACACAGATACAAATGGTCATGTATCCCAGCTCCCGATTTCGTAAATGTAGGTCTGAAGATCAAGCTTCTTTGATCAAAATGAAGACTTGTGGATATGATGTTTGAACAGAAAAATGCACATTCAGCTAACAAGGAACATTCTCAGAACTTTAGTTAATATTACTTAAAGGGCTTTGACAAAGCTGGCAGAGAACTTTGTTACTGTAACATTAATGGACTGTTTTCATGTTTTACATTTTAACAAAGGTATTGTCAATGTCAGCACGGTAACATTATTACCTGAACATCCTTTTAACACGATTAATGTTGAAGAACAGCCTTTAACCTATGACCTTTGAGAGGTAAAGTGACAGTTGCGAAGGAGCTCTGTAGGAAGGACACTGATGCAGAATTAGTTTTTTGGTTGATAATCGATAGTCCAGTGAGAACCATAGTCAGGAGAAGGCACAGTCGGTAGGCAGAACAGGGTGGGGAATGGGAATCGGCGCTCGGTGTGCTTAGGCAATACACAGAGTCGGTGGACGGATGGGGGAACTCAAGGCAGAACTCGGAATCTAAAGGGCAAAATGAAATCAGAAAAAAACAAGCAGGACAGAAATCACAAGGACACTGCTCGGAAAAACAAGGGGAGATCGCGTCTGGCGGGCGTGCCAGACACGTAGAAGGAGCTAATTAATGATATTGATCACAGCTGGGAAGGGGCGTGGCCCCAAAAATGCTTTACTGGTAATCAAATTGCAGGCAGGAAGGACCCTCCCTGACTGGGCGGGCCTGGTGAATCGAGATTCCCTGAGGGGGGGTGCTCATAGAGATGCATCGGTGTTAGGGACAGATGGTGATACTCCCTCCTCTATCATGCTCTCATTTTGATTATTATTAATCTTAGTTTTAGTTGTAGAAGTGGGATATCGTTGTGGGAACATCAGGAAATCTAGACCCTTTGAATATTTCCATACCTTAATCGTAAAGTTCGGTTAACCTTTCTAGAAAAAAACATTTCGTAGTTGGGATAATGGAAAAATGAAATTCAAGGGCCAAGTTTCCATCTGAATATTTCATTTTGTATACAGCAAAGGGCAGTACAAGC